TTCCTCTTAAATGCCGCTCTGGTCCCCTAGAAGGCCCTGAGAAGACGACCTCCCCCGTGTGCAGGGTCCTTCCAGCTTTCTGAGACACTGGTGACTCAATGGATCTGGCGCGGGCTCTGGTGGGTGCCTAGAGACAAGGGGGCATCCTGTGATGGGAGCCCGAGAGGGGCAAGCACAGGCTTCAGGGGAGGCGGGCAGAGGGGCCTCCTGTCCCAGGGCTGGGGAGTGCCATGGAGAGGGCACCTGTGGCCCTGGGCTTTGGGGACTCCTGGGGCCTGGTGTCCCAGGATAGGAAGTGGCTTCCCAGAACTCCCCACCAGCCCTCATTCCTTTTCCCAGCCAAACTCCCTTTTCTCTGTCTTGGCTTTCAATCCACAGGGAAGTCAGAGACTAACTCAGACCATCTCCCCAGCGGAGACACCTTCGTGGCCACTCGGTGGCTGAAGCTACTGTTTCTCTAGTTTAGAGTCTGTGTGTGATGTGAGTGTGTGTGTCTGTATGTGAGTGTGTGTATGCACATGTGTGGTCGTATCAGAGTCTCCTCTGAATCCCCATGGACGTGCCAGGGTTCCACTCAGGACTCGCCAATCTGATGGGGAGAGGTGGGCGTGCCTCTTTGGACCACGGGGCGGAGACAGTTCACATAGGCTGCCCTCATGCCTCCAAGCCTAGGAGGCAGGGGTTGCCCTGATCGGCCCGAGGGTGGGCTGAGGTTGGGTCCTGGGTCTGTGACTCACAAACCACAACTTGGACAAGTTATTTAAGTAGCCTGGGCCTCAGTTTCCTCATCTGTAAACGGGGGAGGAATGGCTCCTCCCTGGCAGAGTGGAAGAGAGGATGACATGCATCGCTCAGTGTGGGGTGAGAACAGCACCTGTCCTGTTGACAGCGAGGATGAGAATGGCACCATTGCTGGGGTTCCCAGGTCACAGGAGGGGCATTTCCTGTCCAGCCTCGGACTCCCCCTGCCCTCTTCCCCGACACGCAGGGCAGCACCTGAGAGGCACGCAGTTCTTACTGCTGGACCCACTGGGCTCCGCTCCAGCCACCCCTACCACGCCGCGGCCCTTGTCCTCCCCTCTTTAAGCTGGCGTGACCCCTGTGGACACCCAGGACTGACTGTGACTGTGTGCAGATCTCCCGTCTCCTAACACAGAGTCATGCGCATTTCATCCCCTTATTTAAAGCAGCATGGAATCCACCAAGCAGAGGCAATCATGTTCCTGTTTCCCCCCACCAGATCCTTATTCTTTGGTGAATTTTTCTGCTCAAAACCTTGACCTTTGACACGAGGTTTGCCAGGGGCTGTCCCCCCGGGCAGCAGCGATGGGTGGTGTCTGACTTTGAGGGCCAGCTCACTGTCTGCTCCCTGGTGCGGGTGTGCAGCAGCGCCCGCTGGTCACCTGGCCCTGGCTGCTTCCTCCACCCACCCCTCCTGTCTGCCCCCCGAGCTGCCAGGGCCAGCCCACCAGCCTCTCTCCCTGGGTTATTACAGCGGCCTCCTGCCTGGTCTTGGCAGCTCCCTCCAATATGCCTCTGTCCATCCCTTCCAGAGAAGGCTTTTAGATCGCAGGTGGAACTGGCTCTCTCTCATTTCCAGCCATCCCTGCCTGCGCTTCCTCCAGGGCCAGTCCAAACCCTGCAGGTGTTAGATGATTGCTGGGATCGGGGCCTGCTTTTCTCTGTCTTCATCAGCGGCTGAATTTTATATCTGGCACAGGCTTATTGTCTCCTCCTCCCTCACTGGAGCATCAGCTCGTGAGGGTGGGGACTTGGCCACTGTTGTGTCCCCAGCACCTAGACAGAACCTGGCTGGTGTAGGTGCCACTCACCCGGTGAGGGAGGGAATGAATGAATGAATGAATGAATGAATGAATGGGTGACTCTCTCTCCAGGTGCTCCTTGCCAGGCCCCAATCCCTACCCTACTCTAGGCTCTTGCTGACACCCCGAGCCTGCTCCTGTCTCCCCATGCTGGGGATTCCTCCCCATAAAGACAGAAGCCCTAGGCTGGCAGCAGAGAGGTTTTACGGAAGGAGGTGCACCCACCCATGCCACTGGCCGAGCAGAATCCAGGCCAGAGGGGCTGCTGCCTCCTTAATTTAGTAATCTGAGCTCTCCATCCTCTGAGCAGGGTTAGGTGGAAGGTGGAGGCAGCTATCAGGAGGGGCCGAGACCCTTGCTGTGTGCCCTGGGAGGGGACCCTCTCCCTCCTAGTCCTCGGAGCCCTTGGCAGATACAAATCGTTTGCGTCTGCTCTAGACTCCAAGGGAGCAGGCCTTGCTGCCAGCTTGCCTTGGCCCCCAGGCCTCTCCCTGAATCTCTTCACTCCTTCCATTAACTGGGGATGGGGGTGGGGGGCAGGAGGTCGGCCACAGGGCTCCTGTCACTGAATGGGGACACACAAGGCAGGAGCTGGACACTGCCGGATCCCAGAGCAGCTCAGCCTTCAGGGCACTGAGCTTAGGTGGGGGCCAGGATGCTTCCCCGTGCCTTGAGGCCATCTCAACAGGAGAAACAAAACAAAACACAACACCTGCTGTGGTTCGGCTGTGTCCCCACTCAAATCTCATCTTGAATTGTAACTCCCACAGTTCCCACGTGTCGTGGGAGGAACCCGGTGGGAGGTGATTGAATTTATGGGGGCGGGCGTTTCCTGTGCTGTTTTTGTGATAGTGAATGAGTCTCAAGAGATCTGATGGTCTTCAAAATGGGAGTTTCCCTGCACAAGTTCTCTCTCTTGCTGCTGCCATGCAAGAAGTGACTTTCACCTTCCATCATGATTGTGAGGCCTCCCCAGCCTTGTGAAACTGTGAGTCCATTAACCCCCTTTCTTTTGTAAATTGCCCAGTCTCGGGTATGTCTTTATCAACAGTGTGAAAACGGACGAATACGACACCTGGACACTGGCCAGAGAGCAGCAGCTAAGTGCATCCTGCAGCCCTGGGTGGGAACATTCTAAATCGGACAGAACACATCATGGGTTTTACTTTCCAAAAAGGCAAAATATGAGATGTTTATACAGCAAAATTCTAATTTTGTAGAAAATCAAGGAACGAGATGGAGGGACTGTCTCAGGGCATGGAGCAGAGGGCTCTGTACACAAGTCCTCGGGTCTCCTGGCCAGCACCTGTCTCTTCTGGGGCCACGCCGGGGCTTCCAGAGCCCTGTTGTCCATGTGCACAGCGGCCGCCAGTGCCTGGAATGAGTGCACGCTGGGGGCAGCTCTTAGCCAGTGCTGAGCCTAGGATGGGGGCCGCTCTGGGCTGGGCACCACCGTGAAGGGGCCTGGAGGGGGCAGGAGGATGAGCCTGCCCCTGCCCTCACGGTGCTTACTGTCCATGGTTAGACAGGCACTTTCTAAGCCAATCTCCTCTGCAGAGTGACCCATCACATGCCGTGCCTGCCCCTTTCCATGGGTTCCTTCCAACCCTGACCCTCAGACTACAGGGTCCTTAAGGCTGAGGACTCTGTTTCCCTGTGTATCCCTAGCATTGATGCACGGTCTGGCACCTAGCAGCTGCTGGACTAACGAGAGTTGAGCTGGATTCGCTTGATGAAAGCTGGCTTCTGATCGGGGAGGGACGTGTGCCAAGCTGCCTGATGAGAGTGTGGCTATAGCCTGATTCTGGGGACCCTGCAGAGGAGGGAACAAGGGGGCTGGATGTGGGGTGGGGCAAAGACAGAGAAGGATGGCAGCCCTGGGGGATGGTGTGGCCAAGGGAGACCTTGGAGAAGGTGATCTCTGAGGGGACAGGCTGTCACGAGGCTTGTCGTGGGTGTGGCAGTGGATGCCTCGACTTCCCAGGCTCCTGCAGAACCTGCAGCAAAGTCCCTGGTACCAGGCCATGCTCTGTGGCTGGGGAGCTCAAGGCTGGTGGGCCAGCTGCCATCGGGCCATTTTTGCACAAAGCAAGAGAGAGGTGAGGATGCCAAGATGTCATTTTGCTGGACATTGGGATGGCAGGTGATTTTAATTCTGTTCATTTCTGCATTTTCTAAATTTTCCGCAATGAACCTTTCTTTGCTGCTTTGTTTTTCTAATAAGGACGGAATGATAAACAGTATTAGCACCATGGGTCTGTCTACCGTGGTGTGGTTCAGGCCTCCCCCCAGCGGTGAGGGAACCATGACCTTGGCAATGCCTCGGCCTTCTGAGGCAGGGCCAGTGGACTGAGGCAGAGTGGCTTGAATGGTCGTCTGTGATGCATGACTGCTGTGGAATCACCGAGCGGTGGCCAGTATGGCAGCAGTGGTGAAGGGGGATGCCCTCCTGGCCTTCTGTCCCCGCATCTTCGGGACCAGGAGTGGCTTTGCTCCAGCTGTGCCAGCCCTGGGGCTGGCCATGAAGGTGCTGGGTGGACACCCTCCCTTTCCTGGGCCACAATGGGCCTTGGACCACATATCCTGACAGAATGGGGAGGACAAGGGGCTCACGGAAGCAGAGACTCAGCCAAGGCCCCAAAGTACAGGCACAGAGGGGCTGGGATGAGGGCCCAAGTCTCCTGACCTCCAGGGTAGCCACAAAAGATGGGTCGTGGCTTCCAGCTGGAGGTTGCAGCTGTGATGGTTGAAGTCTCTGCCCCATCCCATGGGAGGCCATAGCTTATGGGTTGCACTGGGCACCCCAAATTCCTGTGTTGAAACCCTAATCCCCAGTGTCCTTTGGACCTTGAGAGCTTGTTTGGAGGTTCTAGCAGGGGAGTGCAGCTACTCATATACCCTTGACCGAAGACTGGTCCTCCTCTGTCAGGGATGGTCGATGCAGCATGTAGCTTTGGGAGGGATGCACGAGGAGCAGTGAGGGAGGAGGGGGACACCCGTCTGGCCAGCAAGATCAGTCGAATCGACCCTATCAATCGATGGCATGACAGACGTCGCAGCCAGATCGCCCTCACAGCCCCCCAGGATCATTTGGAATGAGGGTCTTCAAGGAGATAATTAAGGCAAAGTGAGGTCATTTGGGTGGGCCTCAGTTCAATCTGACTGGTGTCTTTATAGGAAGAGGAGATTAGGACAGACACACACAGAGGGAAGACCCTGTGAGGACGGAGGCCAAGGAGCGAGGCCTCAGAAGGAACCAGCCCTGCCGGCACGCTGACCTTGGACCCCCAGCCTCCAGAAGCGTGAGGAAACCATTTCTGTTGTTTGTGCCCCGTGGTCTGCAGGGCTTTGTTATGGCTGCGCAGGAGGACCGGTCCCCCTCCCGCCTGGCTTGCCCATCCCAGGAACAGGGAGCTCCTTGCCTGACCAGGAGGTCTCTGTGGACAACTCCGAGAGCAAGCTCTCCCTGAGACTGAGCCAACCACCCCTCCCACAGCTCCGGCCACTGGCCCTTGTTCTACCCGATCCCACCTGAATGGAGGGCGTCATGCCAGGGTCCTCAACAAGCATGAGTCACGGCCTGCACAGCCACCCCGGACCCCACCGCGGGAAGCTGTCAGAGGCTGCGGATCAGAGGAGGAGGGAGAATTTTGAGCAGGTGCGTATCATGGAAGGCTTCTCCGAGGACGTGGCATTAGATGTGGGCCTGAAATAGGAGTTTTTCTTTTTTTTGAAGGTTTCATTTTAATTAATTAATTTTATTTATTTTTCTTAGAGTTGGAGTCTTCCTCTGTCACCCAGGCCGGAGTGCAGTGGTGCCATCATGGCTCAGTGCAGCCTCGACCTCCTGGGCTCCAGCCATCCTCCCGCCTCAGCCCCCTAAGTAACTGAGACCACAGGCGTGTACCGCCACACCTGGCTAATTAAACAATTTTTTCAAGAGACGGGGTGTCACTATGTTGCCCAGGCTGGTCTTGAACTTCTGACCTAAGGGATCCTCCTGCCTCGGCCTCCTGAGTTGCTGGGATTATAGGCCTGAGCCACTGCATCTGGCTTATTTATTTACTTCTTATGTTGGTTGTTTATTTTGCAAAAACATCATTACAGAGACTCAATTTTTTTTTTGAGACAGGGTCTCATTCTGTCACCCACGCTGGAGTGCAGTGGTGCCATCATGGTTCAATGCAACTTCTAACTCCTGGGCTCAAGGGATCCTCCCACCTCAGCCTCCTGAGTAGCTGTGACCACAGGTGTACACTGCCACTTTACCTGGCTAATTCTTTTTATTATTTATAGAGATGGGGTCTCATTATGTTGCCCAGGCTGGTCTCAAAACTCCTGGCCTCAAGCTTTGGCCTCCCAAAGTGCTGGGGTTACAGGTGAGAGCCCCCACACCTGGCCAAGATGAACTTTTTAAATTGATAGAAAAGAAGGCTCACTTATTAATTGATTAAAAAAAGAAAAGAAAAGAGCCATAGACGGGAAGTGAACTTTCCCATGGGGAGAGTAGAGTTGGGGATTCTTGCCCCCTTCCGCTGCTCACCAAGTGCAGAGCCACGTCCACCTGCCCATTCCCTGAGACATCGGCAGGGCTAGCCCTGCACTTTCAGCCTCCTCTGGCTGTTCTGCCAGGTCTGGGTGATGTTCCAGTTGCCACGGCAAATATGCATTGTCTATTATGGAGCACAATGATTAACGACCAATTATCTAATTATTAATGTCATTTCTTGGTGGAGGCCCCATGCCCTCTTGGGCCCTGAGCCCTTGGGCGAGGCAACGACATGAACAAAGGCGCCGAGGAATCCCCGCAAGGGAGGAGCTAAACGTCCAAGGGGTGACGATGATATTTGGGGGACTTAGTGCGATCAGAAAAAATGAAGTCAGAAAAATGGAAAGAATTATTAGGCCAAGGCGAGTTAGGCCAAACTCTTCACCTGAGGTCAGGAGTTTGAGACCAGCCTGGCCAACATGGTGAAACCCCATCTCTACTAAAAATACAGAAATTAGCTGGGTGTGGTGGTGCACACCTGTAGTCCCAGCTACTAGGAGGCTAAGGCAGGAGAACTGCTTGAACCTAGGAGGTGGAGGTTGCAGCGAGCTAAGATTGTGCCATTGCACTCCAGCCTGGGCAACACAGTGAGATTCTGTGTCAAAAAAAGAAAAAAAAAAAAGAATTATTAAACACGAAACGAAAAAAGGATGGAAAGAAGATGTAAGCCAGAGAGGGCAATATTGATGGCAATGTGGAGGTGCTGTGGAGTAAAGCTCAGGCGATGTGGAGGTGTTACGGAGGTGAGGAGGAGGGATGTGGAGGTGCTGTGGAGTAAAGCTCAGGCGATGTGGAGGTGTTACGGAGGTGAGGGGGAGGGACGTGGAGGTGCTGTGGAGTAAAGCTCAGGCGATGCGCAGGTGTTACGGAGGTGAGGGGGAGGGACGCGGAGCTGCTGTGGAGTAAAGCTCAGGCGATGTGCAGGTGTTACGGAGGTGAGGGGGAGGGACGCGGAGCTGCTGTGGAGTAAAGCTCAGGCGATGTGGAGGTGTTACGGAGGTGAGGGGGAGGGATGTGGAGGTGCTGTGGAGTAAAGCTCAGGCGATGTGCAGGTGTTACGGAGGTGAGGAGGAGGGATGTGGAGCTGCTGTGGAGTAAAGCTCAGGCGATGTGCAGGTGTTACGGAGGTGAGGAGGAGGGACGCGGAGCTGCTGTGGAGTAAAGCTCAGGCGATGTGCAGGTGTTACGGAGGTGAGGGGGAGGGACGCGGAGCTGCTGTGGAGTAAAGCTCAGGCGATGTGGAGGTGTTACGGAGGTGAGGGGGAGGGACGCGGAGCTGCTGTGGAATAAAGCTCAGGCGATGTGGAGGTGTTACGGAGGTGAGGGGGAGGGACGCGGAGCTGCTGTGGAATAAAGCTCAGGCGATGTGGAGGTGTTACGGAGGTGAGGAGGAGGCAGGCGGAGCTGCTGTGGAGTAAAGCTCAGGCGATGTGGAGGTGTTACGGAGGTGAGGAGGAGGGATGTGGAGGTGCTGTGGAGTAAAGCTCAGGCGATGTGCAGGTGTTACGGAGGTGAGGAGGAGGCAGGCGGAGCTGCTGTGGAGTAAAGCTCAGGCGATGTGGAGGTGTTACGGAGGTGAGGAGGAGGGACGTGGAGCTGCTGTGGAGTAAAGCTCAGGCGACGTGGAGGTGTTACGGAGGTGAGAAGAAGGGACGTGGAGCTGCTGTGGAGGGGATGTGGAGATACCGTGGTGGTGACGTACAGGTGATGTGACGGTGTTATGGAGGTGAGGGGATGTCACTGTGATACTGTGGAGGTGACGTGGAGGTGACATGAAGGCACTGGATAGGGGACGTGGAGATGACAACGTGCAGATGCCGGGGAGGTGATATGAGGGCAGTGTGGAGGTGATGTGGAGAGGATGAGGAAGAGCCATGGGGGCATATTGTGGTCCCAGCCCTGCTTCCACCACCTTCTGCCATGTGACTCGGGCCTATATTCCTCCTAGGAGATGGGGCTCACCAGGCTTCCTTCCGGGCTGTGGGAGAATCCATCGAGCTGGCAAGCCGAGCTCCAGGGTCATCATAGTGGCCGAATCACTTCTGAGAGGAGCAGGTGAGTGTGATGTCACCTGGGACTTCCCCATCTATCCTGCTCCTTCGCTCTGCATGGCCGGTGACCCCAGTGGCTTCTTGGCCCCTTGCTGCTGTCACAGGCTGCACCTTGGGCTTTGTTACCTGAAGACTTCTCTGGGGATGTCTGGGGCAGGGGGCACCAGTGTTGGAGTTTGATGGACCCAGGTTTTAACCTCCACTGGGCTGTGTGGCCAGGGGCAACTCACTTCCCCACACCTCTTAGCCTCCACTTCCTCACCTAAAAACAATGGGGGACACCACAGGCCCCCAGGACATTGCGTGGGTTCAGGGAGCCACAGCCCTGCACGGGGCTCATAGTGCACACTCAGGGATAGTGGGCACGGTTGCCAGTATTGCCCCTGAAAGGGCACCGTACTGGGCTGAAGATGTGGACACCTGTTCCAGGAACGTGCACACACTGAGAGGCTGGTGTGTAGTTTGTGCCAAGGACACATGTTGCTGGTGTCAGCCGTCCTCTTATCTGGACCCCGCAGCTTGTGGTCTAGGGGGCACTGGCCACTGATGTGGCTTCTCTGGGCTCTGTAAGATGAAGTATTAAGAACCCAAACACGTCATCTGCCAGGTGTAAGACGACAGGGTGTCATGGGGACTGTGGCCGACTGGGTGGAGCCTGCAGACCCCGTTCAAAGGCAGGACTGATACACGGCCTGCATGCACTGACATGGCCACACCAGCTGTCAAGATGATCAAATGCTTCTGCACTGGATGGTCAGAAGCTATGGCCCTTCACCCCTGATTACACTTCTGCTGCCCTGGACCCCCAGGAACCCCTCTGGACTCAGCAGCTAAAGGGCCAGCCCCTGGCCAGCAGGGCCTTCTGGAACCCGCTCCAGTACCAAGGCTCGAGTCCACTCTGATCGGTTGGTGCTGGGCTGTTGCAGTTATTAACGATTTCTGATTTCGCTCCTGACTAAAGACATTCAGATTAACGTTTTTAAAAAGATGGGGCTGGCCGGGTGCGGTGGCTCACGCCTGTAATCCCAGCACTTTGGGAGGCCGAGGCGGGCGGATCACAAGGTCAGGAGATCGAGACCACGGTGAAACCCCGTCTCTACTAAAAATACAAAAAATTAGCCGGGCGCGGTGGTGGGTGCCTGTAGTCCCAGCTACTCAGGAGGCTGAGGCAGGAGAATGGCGTAAACCCAGGAGGCGGAGCTTGCAGTGAGCCAAGATCGCGCCACTGCACTCCAGCCTGGGCGACAGAGCGAGACTCCGTCTCAAAAAAAAAAAAAAAAAAAAAAAAGATGGGGCTGACTCAGTGAAACACATCCAAGTCTTGGTTTGTCCTTGGTTGGGACCTCCAGTGGTGGGGTAAGGAGACACTGATGATGGGGGTCTTGGAGTTCCAGCCCTCACCTGGCCGTGGCTAGAAACACAAGCCCTGCTCTTTCTTCCCAGCTAGGGGTGGGCGGCCTTCATGCCTCTCCCGCATCTTTGGTGGCTGTGGCTCTAAGCTCCTCTCTCTGGTCTTCTTCACTAAGGGCCACACTGGTTGCCCCTGGTGCTTATCTCCCCAAAGTTGGGGACCACGTTTTCCCCAGATTTCAGTTCTACATCAAGATTCTCAAAGGGGAGCTTAACTCCCCATCACAGCCCTCTTCTTCAACCCTCTCTCTCCCCATCCCTGCACAGATGCCCTTCCCTGCAGCCCACATGGACCAACCTTTAGTCCCTCGAACACAACAAGCAGTTTTGCAGTGCCCTGTTTTTCCTCTTGGTGTGAAATGCCCATTTTCTTTTGCTTGGGTGCCGTATTCATCCTCTGAGATTTGGATCTGGTGCTACCCCCTCCAGGAAGCCTTCCTAGACAATCCTTGTGTGGGCTGGGTGCCTCCTGGGTCTCCTCAGACCTCAGTGCTTCTTTCTGTCACAGGCCTATTAACTTTTACCAAGGTTGTTTCTGTGCTTCTATTTTATTGGACTGACTTTCTTGAGGGTGGTGCCCAACACAGAGGAAGTAAATGCTTGTTGAGAGGATGGACAGACGAAAGTACAGAGGGATGGATGGATATTGGATGGATAGATGGATATATGGATACACTGGATGGATAGATGATGGATGAATGGATGTATGGAGGATAGATGGGTGATGGATGGGTGGGTTGGTGGGTGGGCGGATGGAAGAATGGATGGATGAGGAATGGAGAGATGGACGGGAGACAGATGGATGATGGGTGGGTGAGTTGATTGGTGGGTAGATGGAAGGATGGATGGATGAAGGAATGTTTAGATGGATGGTGGATGGATGGATGGAGGGATGGAGGGATATTGGATGGATAAATGCATGGATGATGAATGAGTGGATGGATGAGTGGATGGATGGATGATGAATGATGGATGAATGGGTTGGTGAGTGGGTGAATGGAAGGATGGATGGATGGATGAAGGAATGTTTAGATGGATGGTGGATGGATGGATGGAGGGATGGAGGGATATTGGATGGATAAATGCATGGATGATGAATGAGTGGATGGATGAGTGGATGGATGGATGATGAATGATGGATGAATGGGTTGGTGAGTGGGTGAAAGGATGGATGGATGGGTGAATGGAAAGATGGATGGTGGATGAATGGATGGAGGGATGGGGGATATTGGATGGATAAATGCATGGATGATGGATGAGTGGATGGATGGATGGATGATGAATGGGTTGGTGAGTGGGTGGATGGATGGATGATGGAGGAATGGACTGAGGAATGGTGGATGGAGGGTTGGAGGGATGGAAGGATGCATGGATGCACGGTTATATGGATGGATGGAAGGTTGCTTGAGTTCAGCACATTTTGTTGGCAAGTCTCTGGGGGAATGTGCTCTCTCTAGTCTCAGGTTTACACTTCATTTAGCGGAGTCATCTTACCCTTCTTTCACTTCTGCCCTTCCCTTTCTTTGAATGTCTAAGTCCTGGTCTCTTGAGGGTTTTTTGGTTGCCCCAAGTCCCCTCCACCATCTTCCACAGGAGGCCTTAGGGATTTGATGCCAGCGTGGCTCCTCTGGTCCCAGGTTCTCAGGGTGAGCATGCAGTCTTGTGCTAGACTCCTGCTGCACTTCCAGCTCCTAAATCTGGCAACTTCCTGAGCCTGGGGCAGGCAATACAGACGGCAAGGAGAAGGCTGGCTTGGTTGCTTTACTTGAAACAGGCTCTACTTAACTGTGTGGCCTTGGAGAGATTGCTTATTTGCTCTGAGCCTCAGTTTCCTCATCTGCAGAATCGTGTGGTTCTGTGGGAGAAAGAGGCCAAGAATAAAGTGCAGTCATGTGAAGCTGCCGTCCCCCTGGCAGAGGACGTGGGGTAAAGCTGGGGTCTTCTTCAGAAAGCTCACCTTCCCTCTTCCTCCCAGGGCTGCAGCTGATTAGCTCCCAGGATGCAGCGCAAGTCGGGTGTTTTGCTTCAGTAATGGAGAGGAAAATTGCAGTGGTGATGGTTTGAGTTGTGCTATCACTTAGCCTTCACACTCTGAGGGTCAGCAGTTTCTGAGGGTTTATAACCCAGGCACATTTTATAAATCAAAATATTACCAGAGCACAGTCAGGGCTGCACCCTTCAGCACCGAGAGGAAGTCAGAGAAGCAAGAAGCGCACACTGGGATCAGCCGTTTGCAGAGCCGAGGTCCTGCCCAGCCTCGCAGACGGCTCCTGGCCGCCTTGGGGAAGATGCCGAGGGACCAGGGAAGGCCTGGCGTCCAGAGCGTGTGTGGTGATCCATCAGCGGGGTGGTTGCCCCTCCTGCACCCTTGTCCCTGTTGTGAGCAAATGGCGTGCCCGCCACATTTTGGGGACTGTAGGATTAATTGTGTGGAGTCTGCAGAAACACTGCTCCCCCTTGATGTGGTTGGGGTGGGGACCTGGTGTGCAGCCCCCGAAATCTGCCTCAGGTCTGAGGGATGAGTGGGAGCTCTGGGAACAGGAGGGAGGCTGGGTACAGGCATTGGGTAGCTGTGGGAAGTCAGAGAGGCCTGGGAGGAGGAAAAAGGGAAGAATGAAGATGTGGGACAGGAAAACAGGCTGTGTATCTAGAGCCCCCTCCTTGTGGTTCTGGCTTCTGGGTGCACGGGGGTGGGGGTGGTTATAGTCACTGGGTCTGAGCTGACCATTTGTAGGTAACGTAGAAAATGACTTTAGCTGCAAGTAACAGAAAACCTGCCTGCTAGGTTTGAACCCACAGGAATTCGTTTCTCCTGCAACAGTAAGTCTGGAGGGTTGGGCTGCTGCATCATGCCACCAGGGCTGAGGCTGCTGTGTCTCCGGACATCACATCCACGTCCCAGGCAGGAAGATGGAGGACAGGAAAAGGCCGTTTTCCTCTTGAGGTCTTTGCTTTTGCCTTCAGGAAGGAAAGCTCCTCCCAGCAGATTTCCCTTATACCTCATTGGTTACAACTGGGTCATATGCCTGCCTTTTGACCAATCATGGACGATGAGCAGTTACCAGGGCTAATGTGGACCAATCAGGATTCACCCCCTTTTACTGGGGGTGGACCTTACCTTCCTTGCGATCTGGAAATCTCGGGGGGTTTCCTGAAAGTTTGGGGTTTGGAAAGCAGGATGGATGGTGGCTACTGGGGAGGCGAAGGACAGCGCCTGCCACTCTACCCACCCTGAGCAAAGCATGTGACACACACGACCTGATTTAGGCCTCCAACCCTGTTTTCATTACCCCCATTAAACCCTCTCTGTGGGTGGGCACCCTTGCTTGCATACCTCCAGTGACGGGGAACTCTCCATCTGCCCAGGCCTGGAGGCTCGGGCCTGTCAGAAAGTTTTTCTTTGGACTGAACTGAATTCTGGCTCCATAGGGTCCACCTGTCAGTGATGGGCCCTCCTGGCCATTCTCCTCACCGTGGTGGCTTTTCATGTGGTGGCCATTCTCCTCACCACGGTGGCCTTTCGCATGGCAGAAGGCTGCTCCCACCATCCTTACGAGTCAGGTCTCCTTCAGGAAAGGCCCTGGCTGGTCCCACTGCTCCCTGTAGGCCACGGTCCCAGGCCCTGCAGATTCCTCCCGGCAGAGTGGGGAGTGAGTGGGGCGGGTGCCGAGGCTGGAATGGCCAGGCCAGGGAAGAGCTGGGGCCTGGAGCAAGGGTGCGTGGCTCCCAGCTCAGCTCTGTTCCTCACTCGCCCGCACCAGGCACGGTGGGCACCGGGAGGCCCTGCCCGCCTTGGAGGACCTCACAGTCCCTGGGGCCACTGGAAAGCAGCCACGATAGAAATCCACACTGGAGAGTCTTGAGTGCGCTTCAGGCTCTGGTCCAGGCGCCCAGAGAAAGAGCTCAGGGGAATGAGGCCTGCCAGCCATGGCCACAGTCAGGGCTGGCTGGTCCAGCCCCTGCCCCTCATGCTGTCCAGTTGTGGACAGGGCCTCCTGCTGGGCACACGGGCGGAGCGGGAGCCTCTGCAGCCTCCCTGAGCCCCCCAGGCTAGGAGCAAGGAGTGAATAGGACCATAGAGGTCTTCAGAAGGTGTGTCTCTCTCTCCCTGCCGTCTCCTCTTTTTTTTCTCTCTCTGTCATTTCTCTCTCTCTCAAGCTATATGAGATTCTGAAAAAAAAAAACAAAAACAAACCCCAAAGCCACGTTGTGAATTTCCAGGGCCTGTGCTGAGCTGCCAGGGAAACCACAGCCTCTGGAAAGCAAACCCCAAGCCAGTGGCGAGGCTCCTTCAGCCCACCCAAGGGAGTGTCCCAGCAAAGATCCAGGCCCCCACCTCCCTCCCGACCCCCCACAGACAGAGCCCCGTCCCCAGGAAGGCCTGAGGAGGGGGCGCCAAGGCCATCCTCAGCGGGGTGCCTGCATGCAGAGGGCAGCCCGCTTTCTCCTGAGACACCTGAGAAGGGGGTGCTGCTGTGCTGGAGACTCTGAGCATCACCGTTTCTCCTAGACCCTGCCGAGGTGAGGGCTGTGTCCCCAGTTCTGACAGACGGCAGGGGCAAGAAATGAAGGCAAGCGGAGGCCCGAGGACACGGAGGGGCTGGGCAGGCTTGTGTGCCCTTGGCTGGCTCATGGTGCAGCCAGAGCCCCCAACACAGGCCACGGCCTGGTCCCTGCTGTGAGGCACAAGCTGCAGGGAGCCTTTAAGGTTGGGGGAGGTCCCCTTTCTCCCTCCGTGTTCTGTCCTTCTCCCTCCCTCCCTCCTTGCTGCAGCGGACTAGGTGGTTAAGAGCTTGTGCTCAGAGACAGCTCCGAGGGCCATCCCAGCCTGCCATTTCCCGGCCTGTGGCCTCAGGCGACCTATTCTGCCTCCCTGGGCCATGATGCCCTCACCTCCGAATGAGGCTCCTAACCCCAGCTCCACAAGTCATGCTGCTGCCACAGGTGACGCCAACCTCCAACCAGGGGCTTGAAGCAAAGGCCTATTTTTTGCTTAACTTCAGTGCCCCTCATGGGCCCGGAGAGGCCTGGCTTTTTGTCTTTGGGTTCCCAAAAGCCAACCTTGAGATAAAGCTTTGCGTGCAAGTAGGTTACTTGGGAGACGATCCCGGGAAGTGCCAGTAGGAAAGTGGAGGAATGAGAGAGGGAGAGGAAGGAAGTCAAGCAGGGACGCCTTCTCCGGGGCAGGTGACCACCGTGGGTCACCGGGGAGAGGGAGGGGAAGGAGCCAAGCAGGGGCGCCTTCTCTGGGGCAGGTGACCACCGTGGGTCACTGGACTCACTCCCACTGTGTGGAACCTGCCTTGGAGCTGCACTGCCCAGGGGCAAGAAAGCTGGGAATAGCCCTGCCCATCACAGCCTGGGGGCTGGTCCCAGAGGTGGTAACTCCCCGCATGCCCAGCCTGCCCTGCACAAAGACACAGGTGGCAGGCTCTGGGCAGAGATAACTCTTTTTTTTCTTTTTCTTTTTCCTTTTTTAATTTTTTTTGAGGTGGAGTCTTGCGCTGTTGCCCAGGCTGGAGTGCAGTGGCATGATCTTGGCTCACTGCAACCTCTGCCTCCCTGGTTCAAGCAATTCTCCTGCCTCAGCCTCCTGAGTAGCTGGGATTACAGAAGCCCGCCATGCCCGGCTATTTTTTTGTATTTTTACTAGAGACAGGGTTTCACAGTGTTGGCCAGGGTGGTCTCAAACTCCTGAGCTCAGGTGATCTGCCTGCCTCGGCCTCCCAAAATGCTGGGATTACAGGTGTGAGCCACCACTCTCGGCGGAGAGAACTCTTATCTAATCTTCAACCTTGGCTGCTTTGTGGGTGTGTCGTTCACAGACAATTGTTTTACTGATACTATCCTGGATGCTTCTGGAATAGCTACAATACAAAATCACAAGAGATTCATGGAAAAGACAGTACCCCTGCTGGGACTCTCCAGCCCAGTAGTCTCCCTTTGGTCGATATGCCAACAATTGTCCCCCAGTCTCCTTTCTTTTCTTCCTTCCTCCCTCCCCGTTTCTTCCCTCTGCTCCTTCAGTATGTTTTTAAGCCCCTGGTTTTAGCGTCAGGTGCTCAGGGTTCAGAGGTGAATGGATCACCACTCTGCCTTTATGTAGTAGGTCATTCCAATTCCAAAGCAGGGCGCCAGAGGTGTGTGATGACCTGAATGTGAAAGGAGCCTGGAGGGGGAGAGGCCGCCAGGTGGGAGGAAGGGTTCCTGGCTCACATAATTAGGAGGCGCAGCTGCTGAGCTCTGGGCTCTGCTGAATCTGGAAGGTGGAAGCCCCAGGTTCGTGCCAGATTTATTACTTTTTAGTTGGACAGTGAAGTAAATCTCATCCGTACTCCATCCCCATCTCCAAAATGGGCCACTATGTACCTGCCAGGTTGTTCTGAAGACGAAATAAGACAGCTGCTAAGATCTTTGTAAATAACAAAAACCTGTACTGAATGTTGCCTTGTTGACTCCTACTTCCTTGTGTAAATGGATGTTTCTGTTGAAACGTTTTTGTTTAGATTGCAAAACTGAAACACATGCATTGAAAAAACTGGACCCAACACAGGGCAGGCAAGCCCCAAAGTGGAGCCTGGCCTGCGAGTGTTCCTGGCTTGGCTCAGGAAATACTTCAAGGACAGCCAGAGGTGGTAGAAAACAGCTTTACTGAAGTGGCAGTGTTACAGCTCCGTGACTGCTCCCGCAGAGCGGGGCTACCCATGGGCAGTGTTACAGCTCCGTGACTGCTCCCGCAGAGCAGGGCTACCCGTGGGCAGAGAGTAGCAGCCATATTTATACCTACTTTTTTTTTTTTTTTTCAGCCTGGTGTCACCCAGGCTGGAGTGCGGTGGCGCGATCTCGGCTCACTGCAACCTCCGCCTCCCGGGTTCAAGCGATTCTCCTGCCTCAGCCTCCCGAGTAGCTGGGATTATAGGCACCCACAACCACGCCCGGCTAATTTTTGTATTTTTAGTGGAGATGGGGGGGGTGGTTTCACCATCTTGGCCAGGCTGATCTTGAACTCCTGACCTCATGATCCACCTCTCAAAGTGTTGGGACTACAGGCCTGAGCCACTGTGCCCCACCTATACCCACTTTTAATTGCTAAGATCTTTGTAAATAATAAAAACCTGTACTGAATGTTGCCTTGTTGAATCCTACCTCCTTGTGTAAATGAATATTCCTGTTGAAACTTTTTTTTTTTTTTAGATTGCAAAACTGAAACACATGCATTGAAGAAACTGGAACCAACGCAGGGCAGGCGATTAAGGGAACTGATTAAGGGGCAGTTCATGCAGAAACTTCTAGGGAAGGGGTAGTAATCGTTGGGTCACTGCTGTGAAAAGGGGTGGTAACGTCTGGGTGTTGCCATGGCAACGGTAAATCGATATAGCCTACCGGTGGGGGTGCCTGATTGAAAGCTGCTTTGGCCCAGTCTATTTCAGCCAGTCCTCAATCTAGTCTTGTGCCCAAGTCCCTCTGGAGTCGAGTCCCGTCTCCTACCTCCGAACCACGTATAAGTTGATAAAATATAACGTGGAAGGGCTCGCTCTGAACCTCGAAGACTGCTGCTGTTAACTCTGTAAACTCTGCAAATGCAGAAACAGCTAAAAGGCAAGGAGGCTCGGCTGGGGTGGCTGGGCCGGTCCTGGCCTGCCTCTACTCACCGGCTGTGCGTTCTTGGCAAGTCACAGGAGCGATTGAGGCCTCACCGGTGTCACCCTTATGGTAGGGAGGAGAACGGCCCCACCTCACTGTCTTCGTGAAGGTTGAGCGATCTCGTCGCCTGGCTCGGTGAGGGTGAGTACTCAGGCAGTGCCGCTGGGCCCACAGCTGTGGTTTCAAAGTGAGGGAGATACTTTGCTGAGCCGACTTCAGTCATGACTATTATTTTTGCAAAGGCCAAAGGATTCCTGTCATGATTCCAAGAGCAATTTCCACGGCAAATAAGCCGGGCGTGTTGGGCTTCACAGTTTTGTTTGCTGAAGTCGCCTGATGTTTTCCGTGCCATATATTTCAAGTTTATGCTTTCCAGGTTTTTGTTTTAAATTGTGGTAAAACACCTAACATAAAATTTACCATCTTAACCATTTGTAAGTGTATAGTTCAGTGAAATTAAATACATTCATGATGTTATGCAGTGATCAGCACCATTTTTCTCGAACTCTGTCCATCTTCCCAAACTGAAATCTGTCCCTATTGAATAACAACTCCCCAGGCCAGGTGCCGTGGCTCACGCCTGTAATCCCAGCACTTTGGGAGGCCGAGGCGGGTAGATCACCTGAGGTCAGGAGTTCGAGACCAGCCTGGCCAACATGGTGAAACCCCATCTCTACTAAAAATACAAAAATTAGCTGGGCGTGGTGGCACATGCCTGTAATCCCAGCTACTCAGGAGGCTGAGGTAGGAGGAATCACTTGAACCTGGGAGGCAGAGGTTGCAGTGAGCCGAGATCGCGCCACTGCACTCCAGGCTGGGTGGCACAGCCAGACTCCATCTCAAAACAAACTAACACCCCGAACAACCCAACAACTCCCCATCCCCCTCCTAGCCCCTGGTACTCACTATTCCACTTTCTGCTCTGTGAGTGTGACTGCCCTAGAGGCCTCATGTCAGTGGGATCACAGAGCATGTGTCCTTTGGTGACAGCTTATTTCTCTTAGCGTAACGTCCTCAATGTCACGATGTCCACGCTGTAGCATGTGTCAGAATTTTCATTTTTTTTTTTTTTTGAGGCAGAGTCTCACTTTGTCACCCAGGCTGGAATGCACTGGCGTGATCTCAACTCACTTCCAGCTCCACCTTCTGGGTTCACGCCATTCTCCTGCCTAGCCTCCCGAGTAGCTGGGACTACAGGTGCCCGCTACCACGCCTGGTTAATTTTTTTTTGTATTTTTAGTAGAGACGGTGTTTCACTGTGTTAGCCAGGATGGTCTCGATCTCCTGACCTTGTGATCTGCCCGCCTCAGCCTCCCAAAATGCTGGGATTACAGGCATCAGCCACCGCACCCGGCTTTTTTTTGAGACAGAGTCTCGCTCTGTCACCAGGCTGGAGTGCAGTGGCACAATCTCGGCTCACTGCAACCTCCGCCTCCTGGGTTCAAGCAATTCTCCTGCCTCAGCCTCCTGAGTAGCTGGGATTACAGGCACACGCCACCATGCCCGGCTAATTTTTGTATTTTTAGTAGAATCGGGGTTTCCCCATGTTGGTCAGGCTGGTCTCGAACTCCTGACCTCATGATCAACCCTCCTCGGCCTCCCAAAGTGCTGGGATTACAGGCGTGAACCACCTAACCCTGCCTTGCTGCCACCTCTTGGCTATTGTGAAGAATCCTGCGATGTGCACAGGTGTGCACGTTTCTGTGAGACCACCTTTCAATCATTTGGAGTTTACATCCATCCAGAGTTCTTTTAAAGCACTCTGTGAGGGCCAGGTCTTGTGTTAGGTGTTGAGGGTAAGGAGGCGAGGACGAGGTTCCTCTTCCTAAGAAGCCTTGGTCTGGAGGGAGAGACCCTGGGGTGTGGAGACACCAATGCATCCATCTGCACAGCGCTTTTGACTTCAACGTGCTCTCACCTGTTATTTAATCCGTTTTATAGTGGGGAAACTGAGTCACAAGACGATGCAATGCCCTGGCTAAGCTCCCCTGGGCAGTTAGTTATAAAACTAGTGCCAGAATTCAGGTCAATGGAGCCCAACCACGGAAGTATTCTCAAGTAAGCCCCGCAGGCAGCTGGTTTTTGGACATTTTTGGCAGAGGCTGCAAATGCAGGTCACTGACAGCAGCTCATGCCAGCTCCAGCAGAGACGGACAGACGCTCAGGTGATTGGGACATCCAGGGGTCGGGCTGGCTGTGGGCTCTGCCGGATCTGGGGCCCGGGGCTGTTTTCTTGCGTCTCTCTCCACCTCCTGGGTCTGCTATCCCCTCTGCCTTGGCTTCAGTTTGCAATTCTTCCATGCAGCGGGGGAAGCTGACTGCCAGCAAGCTGGGTCTCTGCGGCCCTTAGGACTCAGATCCCAGAGCAGAGCAAGCCCCAACACCTGCCCCACCCCTTCCCGGGCCTGTGCAGCAGATTCTAAGACACTCTTTTCAGACCCAGGTTGGTGGCCAGGCTCACACGAACCAGTCAAGGAGCTGAGCAGATGTGGGTTAGTTGGGAGGCACTGGGCAGGCCCCAGGGTCAGGGTGGAGAAGCGGACTGGCAAGAAAGGCATGGCTTTCCCCACAGGGTGAGGAGAGCTGGGGCACGGAGCCCAGACGAGAATGGAACAGGAGCAGAGTCTATTACGGGCAGGAGAGCCCCACACGCTTTTCATCTTCCTTGTGTGCGAACCCACTCTGCAAATTGATTGAAGTCAACACAGCTGCCTTTTCAAGTACCTCGTGAAAGTTTAGCATCCAAAGGGATTTCTGTATGAAAACCTTTCATGTTTTTTGGTTCAATATTTTAACTTTGTCTTTTATTGTGGATGCAGTCGTCTGCCAACTTTTCAGAGCAGGCAGCTCTCCTGTTCTCTTCCTCCGTATCACCCGCTGGCCCTGCCCACAATGTGCGTCCCAGTGGATGTGCTGCTGGGGGAGGGTGCCCGGGACCTGCAGCCGGAACGCGGGGGCTGCTGGCCTGTGGTTTGTGAGTCGCCTCCACACCAGTGACATGGGAATAGTCCCGCTCAGCTCACTGTGGTGAGGCTGAAATAAAAATAACGCCCACGAGAGCGCTTTACAACCCGAGAGACGGAGTCAATGTGGGGGGATCAATCACCCTTTTTCCTCTGGCCCACCCTTCTAGAGGGTGGCTCGGGCCCCAGCAGCCCCTCCCTCCAGGGACTTTTGCAGAGTTACTGGCTGCTGGGGGCTTTCCTTGGCTTCTGCAAAAACCTCAAGTCTTTGGGAAGCCGATGCTCTGCGGCCCGGGCCTGCAGCAAGGGAGGGAAGAGGGTAGGAAACCTGGCTTGGAGATGCCGTATCAGGGTGGGCAAGGGAGGACTCGGGGGGTGCAGAGGGTTCTGCTCCAGAACCAGCGAGGGCTGTGGTGCTCCTCACTGATCTGGGCGGGGACTGTGCGGGGAGGGAACAAGGCTGTGGTGCTCCTCACTGGTCTGGGTGGGGACTGTGCGGGGAGGGAACAAGGCTGTGATGCTCCTCACTGGTCTGGGTGGGGACCGTGCAGGGAGGGAGCCAGACTTCCGTTTCTGCTGTGCGTGTGCCTGTGGGAGTCGAGGGGAAGCATCAGCCTGACCTTCAGATCCACAGCACCTGTTTTGTTCATGGCACTTTCTGAGGCTGCTAGTCATGGCCCCTCTTCTGTGGGGGGGTCAGGAACCTGCTTTCCATTCCCGCCAACCCACCCCACGTGTCTCCATCTCCCAAATAGGTTTTAAGCTCTGGCGAGGGTGCTGGCCCTGTTTTAGGTGCTGGGGATACAGCTGAAAACAAAACAGCCAGAAGCCCCGCCCTTATGATGTGTAGTGTGTGTGTGTGTGTGTGTGTGTGTGTGTGTCGGGGGGTGGGGAGTGACAGCAAACAATAAACAAGCTCATCGCCTCCTATGCCAGGGGATACAGTGGTGCGGAGAGGAAGGGGAGGGCAGGGGAATGGGGCCCCGGTGCTGGGGCTTCAGGTAGGGACCAGCCTCCTCAGAGAGGTATGAGAGCCGAGGGAGGAGGAGAGAGCGAGGTAACCGAGGGGTTCCTGGGGGAAGGGAGTCCAAGCGGAGGGAGGGTTAGCGGGAGAGAGCCCATGCTCTTCCTGGCAGGCAGCCACGGTCACAGTTTCGGGCTTCACCTCATCCTACGGTCACCAGCCCAGTGCCTCTTGACTTTGCTAGGAAATAGGGTTGCCAGGTAAAATGCAGGATGCCCAGTTATATTT